GTTATCTGTATCTGATCGCTTCTGGCAATCGTTCCTCTTCATCAGCCAAAGGTAGACAGTGTTGTCATTCGTTTATTAGGGTGTAACGATTTTGCAGATGCATTTCGGTGCAAGTGAGAGACCATCTAAGTGTCAAGGGTACTAAATAATAGACATAGACCATTTTGCAGTATCACCGACGATATATTAAATATTACAGTTTTGGTATCAAACGAAAGGTATTTAAGAAATATTCGGTTTAGCAACATTTTTTATTTGCATTACAGCCAATCTAAAAGGGTAAGATTAAAAATTTAAAATTAAATGAAATATTCCTTATAGTACCCATACGGAGTTTATAAATGCTTTAGTAGAATGAAAATAAAATTTACAAGCACTTCGATCCATAGGATAAGCGCTGATATTAATTTTTATAGTAAGAGTTTGATTAAATAGAGTTGAAATACAAATTTCAAAATGTTTACGTAACGAAAAATATTGAAAAATTCCTTGATGGATGGTAATTGTTGTCACAAAATTCTTTCAATATGGTCGAATCAATTAACCTTTTAACACAAATACGGCACAGTATGCCATCATTGCAAAGTCAAAGTCGCGAAACACATGTTTTTTTATTGTCTTCAAATACTTCAAGAAAAAGCATTTAACGACGCTAATTTTACTCTAAATTTATACTAACAACAATCCCTTGAAAAGAAGTAATATTATTATGGAATTTTTGAAAATGGGCGTAATTCTGCCCACATATCGTTACTAGACACGAATAAGGGCGCGAGCTCAAAAGTTGACGGCGAAAAAAGACGCATAAAAAAACTTTAGCGTCAAAGACTCTTAACATACTTCGCCGAAGTTTTTCATAAGCATCTTTTTTCGCCAAAAATTTTTTACGCGCCTTTTTTCGCAAAAATTTTTTACGCGCCTTTTTTCGACGTCAAAACACTACCGCGCCTTTATTCGTGTGTAGTGACGATATATCTATAAAAGTTTAACTCATTATATCTAACTGAACGTTCTATCGAAGATGTTTGAAATAGACATAAAACCATCCCTGTTTACCAAGACTTATGTGAGAAAGGAGAGTTGGCCATTATATAGTTGAAGACGCTCCTTTGTTTGCTCCCGGTCCACTACCAGCCAAACAAAAGCTTTCAACTTTAGACGTCGAGGGTTTCGTTCAGCTCCAATGGGTTCGTTGGAGGGAGAGGTGAGGCATTCGCTGACCAGTTTGGATCGCACCATACGATATGCTAGAGCCCTGATTGTCGGTTATCAAAGGTCGCCCAGTGTTCATGTGGCGAAGCGAAGAGTGGCGCTAAATATAGCGTTTATCACTGGAGTAGGACTGAGCTGGAGCCCCCGCTGAGTTCAAGAAAGGCAGCATATTGCACCTCTTCTGTTTTCTGAACTAATGCATACTTTTCTAGTAAGGCCTCCTGGTCAAGAAGACAAGCTCCGATTTATCAGGATTAATAGAAATTCCGAAGCTGACAGGCCAACTTCTGACTAAATTTAAAAAGCTTTGCACAAGATCACACAGAAGTAAAAATATGCTAGATGAATTAAAATTAACTATGGCTCTTTGCAATAACGGCACAACTAAAAATTCATATATTTCAGTAGAGCCAATTAAGGATTTTGTGTTTCGTAATGTCTTTTAACATAATTATTCCGGATTATTTGCAATCACTCCGTTGTGAAAATTTTTAAGGGTTCAAGTAATAACTTTTCTAAAGATTTGGTAAGGGTTTGACTGAAAAAATACGAAATAAGTAACAACTCCTAAGTATTTCAACGAAAATAACTCCGTTGGTACTGCTGCACAACGGCACAATACGAAAAATGTCGTTATTTCACATAAAAACACATGTGCCACCGTTCAGTGGTAAGGGTTGCCTACTTCAGTTTTGTGACAAATGGCAATACTGCCGTTTGGAAACCGGATTGTTAACAACTAAGCATATGTCGATTTGTCACAGAAGAATATATTTATTTATAAACCTAATCCGCTATATAATCCAAAAACATGAAATTTTGAGTTGTGTCGTTATTGCAGAGGACCATCGATTGTATAGGACATTCAAGTTCAAAAAAAAAATAAATGCGCCTATTATGAGTTCCATTCGACCTTCGACTGTGGTCGAAAGGGCTGATCGAAGGAATTTTCATTGGTATTTGTGACGCTCATTCGATAAAGAATAGCGCTATTTTGAATTTCGCGCGTTTAGGTTGTTCACAATAGTATATTTTTCACCGCTGAGAAGCTTTGTTTACAAATCGAGCAAAGTAAATAGTGTGCTTATACATACGGTGACCATCCGTCCTTTATTTTAAAGGTCAGTCCTTTATTTTAACCCCCTATCCTATATAATTTTTTTTAAAATAAAGGACGCCTTTTTTCCTTTATTTCTTAAACTGTCCTTTAAATCAGCTCTGCATTTTTCAGAGGTTAATTTTTAAACACAGAATATGAAAAATAAAAATGTCCCTTATAAAATATAATGAAAACCTTCGCGAGTTTGTTTCGCTCCTCACTTAAGGGTTTCTATTTAATCGGTAATCTTTGTACAATCTATAAAGCACTAGGAAAGTTGTGCCCAGGATCGTGTTGCACGCTGAGTTTCCAGTTTAACTGAAAAGGAACAATAAACCTCCTGCTGCACAGTGGTTCAATACTGGCATTTAGTGTTCGTAATTCACTGGAGCCTTAATTATACCTTTCATGAGCATGAAATGGTATTATAACTTTGGTCCGATGTTTGTAAGTACCAGAACAAAAAGAGATAGACCCATTAAAATGTATACTTATATGATCAGAACGTCGAGCTGAGTTGATTTATCCATGTCCGTCTGTCCGTCTGTCCGTCTGTCCGTCTGTTTGTATGCAATCTAGTCTCTCAGTTTTCGAGATATCCGGATCAAATTTGGTAGGTGGGTGTATTTTTATAATGTATTAATCATTTGTCGGAACCGGAAGAATCGGACCACTATAACATATAGCTCCCATACAACTGATTGTTCAGATATGAGATTTTTCGTTATAATTTATCCATTTATGTAGCTAGGACCATGAAATTTCGCGCTGTTTTCACTCATTATCAACAGAAGACTTACAGTGAAAATAACAAAGATCGGGTCACTATAACCTGCAGCCCCCATACAACTGATTGTTCAGATATGAGGTCTTTTATCATAACTCCTCCATTTATGCAGCTAGGAACATGAAATTTCGCACCATTTTCACTCATTATTAACAGAATACTTACAGTGAAAATAACAAGGATCGGATGACTACAACATATATCTTCCATACATCTGATTGTTCAGATATGGGATTTTACTGTAAAACTCCTTTATTTGAACAGCTAAAACCGATAAATTTCGTAAGATATTTTATAAATAATAATACAAAGTCTACTGAGAAAATCGTCAAAATCTATGCTGTATAAGCTTTATCTCCTATAGCACTGATTGTTCAGATACCAGTTTTTGCGATATATCTCCTTTATGTAGGAAACTAAACCCAATAAATTGTGTTACCGGTTTACATACCGATCACATAGCAGTGAAAATCACTTAGATTGGTGCCATATAAAGTATATCTTCCATACCTCTGATTGTTTAGATGCGATTTTTTATATAAGTATGTAACTCCTCTATCGATGTATGCAGATGTATTCAAAATCAGTAATCTGTCAAACTAAAATTTGCAGATGTTCATGAAAGGTATGAAGCCTTCGGCATAGCCGAAGACAGCGCTGCTCTTACTTGTTTTTCACTTAATTTGATAATTTTTTATTTTTTTTTTTAATGAAAGCGCACAATATTTGCAAGACACCAGTTTAGCCTGATTTGTGAATTTTTATTTGATTATATTAAATTTTTTAGAACAAAATGCAGAAAAAGTAGCAATTTTGAAGAAAATGTAATCTCCTGTTCCAGTTAATAAACTTTACATAACAAAAACTAGTTGAAAACAATTGTATGGTTCTCCCAAAATGAAAAAAATACACAAAAAAAATTTGTAAATGTTATAAAAAAATGTTCACCAAAATAAATATTTTTTTTTTAGTTTTTAGTTAAAATTGGTTGAAAAATTACGGCTCCGATGAATTATGAACCATGAATTCCAATTTTGAATCACTGTGTGCCAAATCATTTGTGTCCCAAATCATTTTGAAAAAAAGTGTCCTTTGTTTTACGTTGGTTAATATGGTCACCGTACTTATACATATTTATGTAAATTTGTGCAAATTAAAATGAAGTAAAAAAGAAAGCGAGTTTATAAAAACTTTAACAAATTAGTACAACGGAGTTCTGGTTCGTCAGAGGATGAGAGCTTAGTAAACTGGCCAGGAGCAGAAAACGTTTAAATGAAGTATTTCGAATATAGAACTAAAAACGCAAAATCATAAATTTTTCAAAATTTCCTAACACTTCGCTACAGCATCGAAAGCAAAATTCTGTTCGACAGAAAATTCGATACTCAACGAAAATTTCGACACGGTCGCATAGCTCGTATTTAATATGAATTTCATATTCGATCTTCAATAACCAGCGAAGATCGAAAATCGACAAATTATTTTAGTTGAAGTGACTATTTTATGAAAGCAGCAACTTTTTTTTTAAATACATATGTCAAGTGTTACTTATTAAATAATTCATTAAAGCCGCTCTAATCTGAACCACCCTTTAATTTTATATAAAATTGTTTGGTACTTGCAAGCATACGTTGTGTACTCGTGCGTGCTAAAATACTGAAGCCCGCACATATGTACATATGTAAAATTTATTTAAAACCCTCTACAAATCTGACTTTTTAATCGTATTCAAGCCATTTTACTCACACAATGTCAGTGTATTACGTGTCTCTCTCATCTTTAATCTTATCAGCGCCCTTGTTTCTCATTTATGTACTTTTCTTTTTTACATGATTCAAGTTAATTCATCCGTTTTCATATTGCTTCTCTTCTTTGTTTCTCCTCTCGTTTCATAATCCTCAGGACATGTTGGCGGCTGTGGCATCACGGAGGAAGTCTCCCAGTGGATGGAAAGCATACAGAATTCTGCCGTCGAAGAGTTGCCCGAACCAATGTCGAATGATGATGTCACCCACCAAAAACAACAGCACAAATTAACCAAACCGGCTACCGCACGCATGACACAGACACAAGATGTAGCGCAACAAGAGAAAGATAATGGCGCATTCCCAACAAACAAGAAACACAAAAGGCCCACCACTGCGCCAACAATAGCAACAGGAGCCGCATCCGCGCAACAACGTCCCCCAAAAAAATACTCAAGTTACACAGCTGGCACTGGCGCGACGACGCCAACGCCGACGACCGCGACGGCAACGAGAGGCGGCTTTGTGGCTGACTCCGCCGGTAGTGCCGTAGGCGATGATGATTTCAAATATCCTTATCAAAAATACTCAAAAGATGCAAATTTTCGCTTCGATGACGACACGGCTTCAACATGGCGGACATTTTCGCCTAAAGCTCCAGCCGATGGCAGCGATAGCGGCAACGGTTTCTCGGGGACATTTTATGATCCGGAAACGGGACGCAAGTACACGCCCCAAAACATGGATCGGTCCGAGTGGCATGCAAAGGTGCACGAACGAGTGCGGCGTGCAACCAGCGCTAATTTGAACGGGCCGGGGGCGCGGCGTGAAGAGAACAAAAATACCTGTTCGCTGTATATACAAACGGATCCGCTGATATGGCGGCACATACGCGAAGGAATTGCTGATGTAAGTGAAACGAGAACACTTTTATTGTAACTCATTTAAAAAGTGGTATAAATATACATACATGGGCACCTATGTGAGCGGCTGACAGTGGCAAGTTAGTGCTAGGGTGGCGCTTAAGTTATAAATTCATTTCTTTTACCGAACTCACGTTCGCCATTGTTTTAAGGCAGCATTGGTTCTGTTTTTTGTTTTGATATTTGATACGCTCTCTTGTCTGTTCCGGTTTGCTTGAATTTGTGTTCATTTTCTTCTCTTTTGTTTCTTCACTAAATCCCCTTTTTTGTTTTTGCTGCTTGGCTTTACTTTGTTTGTTTACTATATTTTTTCACCGCCAATGTTTGCATAATTTTGCCATTTTATATGAGATGGCGGCACCCCGGCAGCAAAGCCCTGCGATTAAAAGCAGCAAAGAGGGAATAAAGAAATACCTACATATGTAACGGGTGATTTTTTTGAGGTTAGGATTTTCATGCATTAGTATTTGACAGATCACGTGGGATTTCAGACATGGTGTCAAAGAGAAAGATGCTCAGTATGCTTTGACATTTCATCATGAATAGACTTACTAACGAGCAACGCTTGCAAATCATTGAATTTTATTACCAAAATCAGTGTTCGGTTCGCTTTACGTCCGATTTATGGTCTACATAATCGACCAAGTGAGCAAACAATTAATGCGATTGTGACCAAGTTTCGCACTCAGTTTACTTTATTGGACATTAAACCAACCACACGAATGCGTACAGTGCGTACAGAAGAGAATATTGCGTCTGTTTCTGAGAGTGTTGCTGAAGACCGTGAAATGTCGATTCGTCGCCGTTCGCAGCAATTGGGTTTGCGAAACACATTTCGAACCGAACACTGATTTTGGTAATAAAATTCAATGATTTGCAAGCGTTGCTCGTTAGTAAGTCTATTCATGATGAAATGTCAAAGCATACTGAGCATCTTTCTCTTTGACACCATGTCTGAAATCCCACGTGATCTGTCAAATACTAATGCATGAAAATCCTAACCTCAAAAAAATCACCCGTTATATACGTAAAAAGTTATTCAATTGTGATAGCGCAGAAAGCTACAAAGTCCATAGCCGTGGAGTGAATATTGCTGCCAGTGGAACAAAAAGCTATGCGCGTGATGCATCGAATCCGCGCTCTAAATGCTTTAAAGGGAGTAGAAGCGCACGCTTTAGGGGAATGAAGTGTAGCGTGATTTTTAATTTTTTAAAACTCAGTTGCCGTGGCGGTTTGGGTACGATGGTAGAATTTTATAGTGCTAAGTACCAACTTCCCATCAGCACGTGCTAAACTTCTTTCTGGAAACTGGTAATGCAGCAGGATATAGATTTAAGAGTTAGGAAATAGTCCATTCGCTTCTTCCTTTGTTGCTTACTTCAAAATTATTAAATTTACTAGCAGACCCTGCGAACTTCGTCCCGCCCAAAATTTTTATATATTTTACTGAAACTTTTTGGCCCAACATTTTCACTAACAATTCACGTTTACGATTTTCATTGGCACATTTGTCTGCTAAGATTAAGGTTTGGTGGTGATTTGCCGCTTTAAATAACCTAAGGAAAGTGTTATATCCGTTCTTGAAATTCTCCAGTTGTGCGGCATTTCATAGCACGGTTATTCGCAAAGCGAAATAAATTTTTTCCTCTTCACTCCCTGGCGGCAACAATGACCCGGTTCTATAGTGAATGTCCTAGAAGCTTTACAGTATAGTAGGTGGCAATTTCAAAATGGGTGCGAATCATTGTTCTACAGAAATGCAATATACATATACTTATTTCAGACGAAATACCTTAAAAGTTTGAACGCATAATAATATTGGAAAATCACATCCATTGGGCCAATTGCAACGCAGGAGCGTTCGATATACTCAATGGTGCAACAGGTCGATTTAATCTGACCTTCACGGCCCCTTTTCTCACTTGGCTATTTTTAGTAATAGCTCGACTTCAGCACCACTTGGCAGCACGTTTTTGCAATAGTATTGCATACATATTTAAAACATTAGCCAAATCGGATCATAAATAAGATTTTTAGTAATAACTCAACTACAGCGCCAACTGTCGGATTAAATTGTGAAACTAAACCATCCAGAGACCCACTCAAATACACAAAAAGTTTCGTTAAAATCCGTACAACCATTTAGGAGGATTTCACTCACAAACACACCTACAGAAGAATAAAAAAAATCACTCAAAGATAGGTAAAGGTCGGTACGTTTGTAGGCCTCACACCCCTTTTCAAATAGCCCAAATTTTCTCCAAGATTATGGGCTTGATGTCAA